TTTTAGAGGCTTCATAGACAGTCAGTCAGTTAGTTTTAAGTCTCTCATCTATGTATATATGTAAATATCCTATTTTGAGATTCGAGATGCCCTTGTGGCCAGATTTTTATAAGTTAAGTTGTTGTGCAAACTTGCATTGCATGAAGTTATTCTGTTGAGTTAGGTTTCCGCTGAGTTAAGAAAGTCAGGCCAATCGCTTGGGGCCAGAAATGGTCTCCGGGTGCCGGTCCCGCCCAGGGTGTAGGCTCGGGGCGGGGCGTGACAACGGGGACGTCTTTACTTTTCTTCGAGAGGCTATAAGACTTTAGGAAATCTCTATTTTTCTCGTCTCTTTTCGTGGTATGACTTGATTCCAATTGCTATCTGTCGATTCAAATTGGTATCTAACCTCCTTCACTTTTCTATCTGCAGATTGTTACTACTAGGTATAACGGTGCTATACCTGTAGCTCCAGAGGCGTATCTAGAGGGGGTGCCATGGGTTCACGTGAACCCATGCTCCCCCTCTAGGTCATATATAGTAGTGTTATATTTTTTTAATTTTTTTTTAAATATAGATGTGTGAACCCATGTTCAAAGTATCATATAATAATACGATGATAATTGGGTGCACATCTCTAAGTGAGGATAGAGATTTAAATCTTATATCTATCTTGTCTTTTTGAGTAACACCTTTTCAAGTGGTTATTAATTACACTTTTGATGGTTTCAACTAATTTTGATATTTTTTTTTTGCCTTAATCTTTCAAAATTTTCAAGTGTTACATTGAAAATTCCTAAAAAATATTAGCACTGTACATTTTTTATATAATTAAATCAAATGTGTATATTAAAATTTAAAACTAGTAGTATTATATATTTTGAACCTATAATTTTTAAAATTTAATGGTTCATATTAAGAACTAAATATCAAATCGATCAAATTTATATTTAAGATACATTTTTTCATAATCGTGCACCCATCTAGCCGAAATCCTGGATACGCCTCTGTGTAGCTCCTGTCAATGCTCCAGCTGAGGAATCCGCAGCAAGAGGTGTATGTTATATCTTGTGAGTATGCATCCTTCATTTTGGTCTTCTACAATTACTCACATTTCTGTATTTACTTGTGCTTGTGCAGAAAATGTTTTTGCCTTGTGGTCTTCCACCTGAAAGGGAAGACGATTAAGAGTTGCAATGGATAGCACCCTTTTGACTCAGACCTCTGTCAAGCCTAAATGTTGCTGCTTTAATCTCCAGTTCATAAACATGTAAGGTTGATGTGATATGAAAGATTCGACTTGTATTAATCTGAGTTGTTTTTCATGTTCAACTAACATATAATACATTTCAAGTGCCTATGAGAGGTATCGAACATCGAGTAGCTGCTATATAGTTGTGGTAAATTTTTTTTGGTAGAAATTAAATTCAGATGGAATGTTTGAACTTTAATCCCCAAGAATATCCAAATGGCCAGCTGCTGTCTAAAAATATCACTCTGAGTGCTAAAAATCACATTGTGTTTGGGTATGGCTAATCTATATTGAAGGTAGAACTGAACATTTGTTCAATGTGGATGAATATCACAATTCTCATGTCAGTTTTAGTTAGGAAAACTTATGTACTTAAATTTAATGGGGGTAATTTGATTGAGTTGAAAAAGAAAGACATATATATGAGCTTGTCAATCTTTGGTAAGGAAGGAAGAATATTATATTATGAATGATATTTCATCATGAACTTCCTTAATTTATCATGTCATGAAGTTTGAGTACAAAGAACACTTATAAGGTGTGTTTGGGGTGGGGATGAAGTTAATGGGGTTAATTCGTAGTGGGGGTGTGTTGGAAGCTGGTGGAATATTAGACAACTATAAAACATCTATAAATAAAAATAATTTAGTAAATTATACTTTGTACTTTTTTTTTATAAAAAAAATAGGCGAGGTATTAGCTAAAATAACACTTATTTTGGGACTGAGGGAGAACTACATGGTCCTGTGAGAACGTCTTAATTTAATTGATTGGGGGGAGCAACTTTTGCCACCTATATGCCTGGGTGTTCACGGTTCAGTTTGATAAATTCATATTCTTTAATTATAACTTTATTATTTTGAATGTGGTAATACTTGTGTATATTTTATAATTACTTTGAGTAAAAAAACACCTAATTGTGACGAAAAATACTTTAATAATGGAGAAAAGTATCATAGAATAAATTAAATAAATCTTTAGTATCATAGAATAAAGTGTAATGACATTACATCTAAGAAACATATCATAAATAACACTTTTAAGCGTGGGTTGAAGCCATCATTTATTCTTAAATTTGCTATCAAGTTAAGTTGAAGAAGAACACTTTTAAAGTGTGTTTGGTATGACGAAAAATGTTATTTTTTTTTCTGAAAAATAAGTGAGTATCGATTATATATATATACTTAAAAATATTTGTATAAAATCTAAGCAACCGCTATTTAGGTCGTCTTGGGGCTAGGGATGAGGACTATGGGGTTGGCAGGTAGTGTGTGTGTCGGAGGATGAATATTAGACAGTTGTTGAACATCTAATAAATAGGAATAACTTAGTAAACTATACTTTATATTTTTTAATAGGCGAAAAATGAGCTAAAACAGGGAGTATTGCATAGTTTTCTTTAGGACTAGGCATAAAATATTGAAAATTGAATTACCGAATTGAACCAATAGAGACAATCTTTGATGTATATACAATTGGATTTGATTCATGTTGCCACACATTTACTTACTTTGAATATTGTACATTATTGAATAGATGAATTGTCTAAATTTTCAAACATTTCATCAATTGTTTCCTTTATGTTGACTAAATGATCCACTTTCCTCCCTTCTTCTATCTGTAATAGAAAAGAGTAGGAAATTTTAAAATGTTTATTAGAAACAAAGGGCAAATATACTCCTCAACTTTGTAATCTAGGTTGGGTATATCTTTTGTTAAAAAAGTGCTGCACATATCCTTTTTGTCAACAAGATGAATTTAAAAAATAATCTAAAACAAATTTATATATATAGTTGAGAAAGATCTCATCTTTTTCAGTTTGAAGAAGCAGTGTAATTTGGTTATCTATTGAGGCAATCTCAATGGAGTGAGTCATCCTTCTTTCTTCAACTCTAGTTCCTACAAAAAAAACATTTTTTTTTTTAAATTTCAATTTATATATTATTAATATAATTCATTGCAGAATTTAATTTGAAAGGAGAAGACAAAGCAAAAAAAAAGGAACTTAATTTCATTTTTCGTGTTAAATTACTAGTTTTATGAAAAGAATTCTAGATGCATGTCTGTCTTGTCATAACATCTAAAAAATAAACTATGATCTTTAAAATATAAAAAGATCAGGAAGGAATATATATATATACATAATGGCCTAATAGTAAATAAATAAGTAAATAAATAATGTAATATGAGGTAGCAAATTAAGCATAAGTTAATACAATATAAAGGGTGCATGTGTTAAAGCTAAGGTGCAATATATATAATGTATAAAACATTTAAACATAGTTACCTCTTTGATTTATAAATTGAAAATGGACTTGTTGGAGTGTAGTTAAGTTTCTTCTTAAATTCTTCTTTGCTCAACTTTTATGAAGGTGAAGGATGAGAGATGAAGAAAATTTCCTTCGGATGATTGCAAGCCTGCCTATATTATTAACATGAAATAATGTGCCTTTTGAGAAAAGTATCATAGAATATAAAGCTTTAGTATCATAGAATAAAGTGTAATGACATTTACATTTAGTAAAAAGATATCATAGAATAACACTTTAAGTGTGTCTTGAAGCCATCACTTATTCTAAAATTTGATATCAAGTTTTTTTGAAGGACACTTTTAGGGTGTGTTAGGTACGATACAGAAAGATGTTATTTGTTCTAGAAAATGAGTGAGTTTCGAATTCATTTTTTAATATTCGAAAAAGGCCAAAGGGTTAAAAGTACCCTTCAATTATTGGAAATGGATCAAATATACCTTTTATTTGATTTTGGGGTAAAAAATAGAAGAGATTCACTTTTACCCCTCAAAACTAACAAATGCCATGTCACCATAAAAATCACATGAAATAAAAGTGAATTCAGTGGACGAAGTTGATGATTTTTCTTATGGTAAGGACCAATAGAGATCATCTTTGGTGTAAAATCATTTGGAATTAATTCACGTGGTAATACATTTACTTTGAATATGGTGCACGATTTAATAGACGAATTGTCCAAATCCTCAAACATTTCATCAAAGATTTGATTTACAAATTTGTTTGTTTGTGACCCTAATGGATCTTGTACTGTATAAGCGATAACTGACGTCTAATCTGTATACTCATGTCTATCTATGCATTTTTTGCCCTTATATAAAATAGTTAATTATAATACTAGTATATATTTAAGTGAATATTAGGATTGTTTAAGATCAACACATTCACAAAATGAACATTGTAATGATTGATGCATATGTTAAGATTCCATGGTTCTACGAAATTTAATACGATTAAAAAGGACCATGTTATCCAAATGGTGCAAGTAGTACACAAAAACTTGACATGATTTATTACCATCAAATGCCGACCTAGAAATGCATCGGCTTGTAGGTGTAAAAACATGATTAGTAAATATGTTAGGATCATGAGTTAAACTTAAAATTACATCGAAGAAAGTTATCTAAAAAAATCCTTCAATTTCTTCAAATTCATGCACATGTAGTAAAAAATAGAATATAAAAAAAATTAATATAGATGATATTAATTAATTGTTCATATATATTTTTTGAAATAGGAATATGTTTACTTTAGGTCTTATGATCTGTATAGTTAATTATCACATTTAATTAAAGATGGAGCACATTCTATGCCCCCAAACTCTACATCTATAATCCATCAATACAACTAGGATACAATATTAATCCCATAAAACACAAAATTAAAGATATTATATATATATATATATGGAGTAGTGGATGATTAACTTAACAAACCACAATGACACATAATTAAAGCAACTACTTAAAAACACTTATGAAAGCTAGAACAGTCTGTGTAGCTGTGAGTAAGAGGAGTATGATAGCTGCCACAGTTGAAATTCCTGCCCAAGGACTATTGAAGTAATTGTGCCTCAAATTTGCCTTCATTCTATTCCATGATTGTTCACAATGTTTAACTGCTTTTCTGCATTCTTCTTCATAATAGAAGTCATCTGAAACTACGACCCCTTTCCCCATTTTGTTAAAGACGCTAGCCACTTCGTTGTCCTCTCCTATCTTGTTTACAATGATTCCATTCATACGAAGCAAACTCACATCTTTGTCCGAGTCAATAAGATAATCCATGAAAACTACAAAATCACTGAAATATTTAAGACATACATCAGAAGACTGTTGTTCGTAAGCAATGAGATTTCGCATGAGGGTTTCTGTGTCATCTACAACTCGAAAACAAGGGATTGTCATCAATCCATTGTCAAACTTTATATCAAATAAACTTGTGCTATCCCCAAGATCATCGTCATAGACTTTATCCAATGACCTCATAAAAATATTTCCAACATTTGCGAAGCTAACTCCAGCTTCAGAAAGCTCTGTTGCATTTGGCATGACCTTATGCCACATCATGTACTCGTCCCTATTTCTCCTTCTCCTCCTCCGGACTATTTTTGACTGGATTCCAAATAAGCTTCTACGGCAATCTGCCATATTGCTAGGTCTATTTTTTGACTTTGAAGGTCGACATGACATGCACATGTGTACTACATGAAATAAGTGTTTGAAATTTTTTTCATTACCTTCGGTCTCTATAGAGGATTTATCAAGAGAAAATGTCCACTTCACCATCTCTAACAATGTTTCTTCGCCTTCCTCCTTTGACATTTCATAAAGCTTGGTTAGGACAAAGAAAGGAAGTTGATTTTCTATTAACAACAAGTCTCGATTTAGTTGATTTCTTATGCAACGTCTCTTGATAATCCGGTCTTCTTCAATTGAAATGGATTCACAATCAAGAATGAATTCACAATGCTCTCGAATATACTCAACCACAAAACAACCATCAAGCAATAACATTTCTGAAAAATTTACAACAATAGACATATCAATCCCCCCTATATCATCATAACACTTAAGTGCATCATCTTTTAGTTTATCCATTTCACTAATACAACTTTCCACATCATGAATCCCCCCTTTTCGCTTAAGAAACCGTTGTAGGTAACACAACTTATATTTTTCCATCGAGCCAAGTTTAGAATCGTGTTTATGGTAAGGACCAATGGAGAGCAATTTTGGCTTATAAGCATCTGGATTTGATTCACTCAACCCCACAGTCACCTTGAATATGGTAGTGAATATTTTGTTAGACGACTTGTTCAAATTCTTAATTCTTTCATTTAGAGATTTCTTTGTTTGCGACCCTAATGGATCTTCACCATTATTTGTTTCCTCTATGTCGATTGAATAATCCACTTCACTTCCTTCTTCTATCTGTAACAATTACATATTCTTTTGAAATGTTTATTAGAAGCACTATGCAATAATCAAACAATTACATATTCTTTTACGAGATACTCTTTCCGTCCCAATTTATATGATGTTGTTTGACTTGACATGGAGTTGAAGAATTCTTTCTGAAATTTATGGTTTGAAACAAGTAAAGAAAGTGACGAATCATATAAATTGAGTACATCAAATTAAAATCAAATTGCGACCCTAATGAATCTTCACCATTTGTTTCCTTTATGTCGATTGAATGATCCACTTTTCTTTCTTCTTCTATCTGTAATTATTGGAAATATTTATGCAATTACATATTCTTTTGAGATGTTTGTTAAATTTTTTTAACACGTAAACTAATCCAGTAGTAGCTAGACACCTCAAATTTCAGTACTGATTTGTATAAAAATTCAACTTTTCTTTTTGTGCGTGTGATCAATAAAGATTCAAACTTTATCATGTTAATTATAGATAGATAGTTGAGAGAAAGACCTCATCTTTTTTGGTTTGAGGAAATAGTGGAATTTGATCCTCGATTAAGGCCATCTCAATGGAGTGTGCCATCCCTTTTTCTTCAACTGTAATTCCTACAAAAGACAATTTGAGGGAGTATTAGATAACATGGAAAAGGGTCAAAAATATCCTTCAACTTTGATTTATTAGTGGACTATGTCTTATCGTTAAAATTAAATTATTTTTACCACTGCTGTTACACATTCTTTTCAATATCAATTCATAAATATCATGGCTATTATTATTAATAATAATTAATCCAATGAAATCCATCATATAATTTGATTTGAAAAGAAAAGATAAAGCAACAAAAGGGAAATTATATAGGGAAAATGGTTTGATCATATACCCCTCAACTTTGCTATTTAAAGGTGATATACCACTTGTTATAAAAGTAGCTCACATATTATACCCCTACTATTACAAAATTGACTCAGATATACCCCTTTATAAAAATTGCTCACATATATCCCTACCATTACAAAAGTAATAAAACTAATTTTTTTTAAAAAAAAAATCATGTATTTGATCTTTTCCACAACTAAATTATTGTTTGACTTCTTTAATTATTATTATTATTAGTTGAGTTTCTTATTCTTATTCATTCTCGTTCATTATTCTTTAGTGTAAAAATAAAAGAAGAAAATTAAAATTAATTTTTTTTGCAGCTATATTGTAATTTAGTTCTAGTTTCGTAAAACTTCAAAAAATAAAAGCGTATTAATTTGATGAATTGATTTAAATAATAACTTTGATAAAAAAAATCATTTTTTTAAATATCCAATTAATTACAAAATTTGATTTGAAAAGAAAAGACAAGCAAAAAGGGGAAATTAATTTTAATTTTCTTGTAGCTTTATGAAAAAGAACCCTATATACATGTCTTGTCATAACCTGTAGAAAAAGAAACTAATTTGAGGTAACATGGCCTAATATATATAAGTACATACATAAAAGGGTGCATGTGTAAAACATTTAAAATAATAATTACCTTTTTGATTTGTCTATTTATAAATTGAAAATGGACTTGTTGAAGTGTACTTGAGTTTCTTCTTAAATTCTTCTCTGTTCAACTTTTATGAGGGTGAAGAATGAGAGATGGAAAATAAAAAATTATATATGAGTATTATATATAGATTTTCCTTTGTGTAATTGGAAGCCTACCTATATTACTAACATCAAATAATGTACATTTTTGAGAAAAGTATCTTGAAATAAATAAAGCTTCAGTATCACAAAATAAATGAATAATACATAAGTCATAGAATAAATAAAGCTTCAGTATTATAGAACAAATGTATAATACATAAATATGTTTTTTAGTTTGATCTTGACTAAAATCTATACCCCTTCTAAATTTGAGTGTGCACAAATAAACACTTAAACTTGTACATAGTTGAACAAACACATCATGCACAGATTCTCCGTGGCATCCTATATGTGTTTTGCCAAATAAAACGTGTGTATGTGGCATAAAGTTAGATGTCTATTGAGGCCAACAAAAAGGCATATATGCCTAGAATAAATAAAGCTTCAGTATCATAGAATAAATTAATTTTTTCTATCTTATCACATAGGATAGGCCAAGAGTCATCCAAAGTTATAGTAGGAAAGGAGTCATCAATGACAAATTTAATTTGGTGTTCCATATACATTGCTTTATCATCTAATAATAGTAGAATTTATTCTTCTCCCTGTACTTACAAGCAGCCCAAGATTTTTATATCTGTAACGACCGGGTTTCATCGTTATAGAAATGCCAACGGGCGAAAATTTGGGACCGGAAAAACTTTTTGGTAGTATTAGAATTTTCCCAACCATGTTCAGATTTGGACAAAATCGGAGTAGTTGAGGGGTGGGGAAATCTTGTAACAATCGAGTGAGTTAATGATGGATTTGATTGCATGAATGGTTAGATAACTCGTTAAGGAATCCGTACGCCTTTACGGAATTAGATTTGGATGAGTAGATCTCCGGGAATTGACCTTAGCGTGAAAGGTATTTTCTGAGCGTTGTTGATTAGATGTGTGTTGTGAAATGAGATTTGGGATTCTTTAAAATAGCATTCTATTTCAATTTTGCTGCTTTGGCGGGTGTCTTTGCCGCTTTGGTGGAGCCAATGTGGCGGACGACACGGGACTCAAAATCATAATTGCTCACTGGTTTGAAAATGCCGCTGTGGCAGGGCAAAGTGTCGCTCTGGCGCTGCCGCTACAGCGGGATGAGGGCCGTTGTGGCGGGCCAGACGTGACTTAAGTCGTTAATAAACCCCTAAACGACCTTATTTGGCACTTTTCGACTTTTAGAGCTAAGAAACGACATCTAGGTGATTTCTACTCGTTTTTCACCATTCTTGATGCTAAAGGTAAGCTTTTAACTCCCCGAATCCATTTTTCGATCCGTAGAACGTAATAGAATGGGTCAATGTTGATGGGGGAGGATTTTGATCTTGAATCTATGGTGAAAACAACCTTAATTGGATAATTGGGATCATGGGATGATCTAGGGGTTGTTAGAATTGTTAGTAATCTGGGTAATTAATAATTGTTTTGTAACATCTCGCAATTTGAAATAACTATGAAGAAGCTTATAATTGGAAATAGTCATTTTTGGAAAGAATTAAAATCTGAAAAAAATTGTTTAAGTTAAGAAAAGTGAGTTTTTGGTCAACTTTCAAAACGGCCATAACTCCTAGCTCAGGATGATTTAGGTGTCGTTTTAGATATGGTTGGAAAGCCCTTGGAATGATCTTTCCAACGCCGCCAAATTTACGCAATTCCGAGTTCGTATGAGTGAGTTATTCCCTTTGGAAGTTGGGCTGTTCGAATAAGGAAAGTCTAAAACCGGATTTTTTAAGGGTACTTTAGTCTTTTCCTTACCTTATTATTCTGATTCGTTTTTAAGAGTTAATTGGGGTAAAAATCATATTTTAGTCAGTTTAGAAAAAAAAGTTGAGTTCACGCTAGGGCTTGGAGAAAGGAGAAAAGAAGAGAAAAGAGAAGGAAGTTCAAGATTCGTCAAGAGCATTCAAGAATTGATTGTCGATTTCGTCGGGGGTGATCCCTACAAGGTATGTGAGATCTTTCTGTGTTGAGTTAGTTCACCCACACACCAACTTGTTTTTAAATCCTTTGGTTTGGAGTTATTTACATGTTGAAAGGTGAGGTTCTTGAAGAACAATTGTCGAATTCTTGATTGGTTGTGTTGTTGAGGGTTCTTAGTGATTTGATTCGTGTTTCCGGGTGGATTTTCGAGTTAGATCTGTTGTAAGTTGAAGGTAATAATGATCCTAAGTGATTGGGGAAAGAACTAGGGAAGTTTAGAGGGTTTGGAGATGAAAAACAGAGAAGAAAAGTCGTCAAACACCTGGGGAATAGGGTAGGGGAGTTGCGCCAGCCAGCGCGCCCCAAACCAGTTTCTGAAGTTTGGTCCTTGGGGCGCTGTGCCAGCCAGCGCGCCCCACACAGGCCTCTGGAGTTTGGGGCCTGGCGCCCCACACCTCTCAGAGTGCCACGGACGCCAGTTCACCCCATTCTTCCCCCATCTTTTCATACTAGTTTCTAAGTGATGTACCTATGTTTCCTAGTTGATTTTAACATTCTAAGGTACATCTAAACATCATGAATCATCTGTATACATGAGATCATGAGCCTTGAATCCATAATTTAATTCAAGGATAGTTAAGATCAAAGTCAAAGAAGTTAAGAGTCAAGTCTAGAAGTTAAGAAGCAAGTCAAAGCAAAGTTTCTTAAAGTTTTCAAGAGTCTTTAACAAACGTTTTAACTTCGTTTTAAGGCTCAAGTTTCAAGTAAAGAAAAGAGTAAGAGTTGAGTTCATTTTTCAAAAGTATTTAGGGAACTATGTATTCCCAAAGAAGTTTATAAATGTTTTTCACATTTGAGCAAAGAAAAGGGAATATCGATTCCAAGAGATCTTTTAAGCTAAGTTTTGAGTACTTATCTCAAACCAAAGAAAGAAGTTGTTTTTAAACATAAAGAACTAAGTATATCTTTAGGAGTAGTATTGAGCACCGATATGGGGATGCGAGTTCATATTAACTCAAGTCTCCATAAACCATGTAGCCATCATGGGTAGAAAAGGGTCATACTTTTTAGATGAATCCTTTTCACAATAGACTATTGGATCCACTTAGTGAGAGTTAGCTTTCTATATCACGGCATGGTATAGGATGGGCCTCGGCAGTGCGAGGTAAGACATTGTATCATCACTATAGTTCTTAAGTGATGGTTGTCGATTAGAGAAACTCCCACATCAGTAGTAGCATGGTTCCTTAAGGGGTTCTGCTTAGTGTGAATGGGGGTATGAGACTTCATTCATGCATTGCACAAGTAGACTTTGAGAGGGAGCATGGTTTGTCTTTTTATGATATTATGTTTATGAATTGACTACATGTTTTAAACAAATTTCTTTTTCTTTATATTGCACTTGTTTTAAACTACTTTATAATGAAATGAGTTAAGTTAAGTATTCATGAGTTGAGAAGAGCCAAGGTAAGTGTTTCTTTCAGAATCCTTTTAAGCATATATTTGTTTTAGCATTCCAACTCGCATACTCGTACATTCAATGTACTGATGCCAGTTATCCTGCATTGTATTATGATGCAGACGCAGGTAACTAGGATCGGCATCCAGCGCATCGTTGATCCAGTGAGCAGTCCAGAGTCTATTGGTAAGCCTCTTTGTATTCAGGAGGATCCCTTTTGTTTACTCTCAGTATTAGATAGTTCATTAGGATGTTATGGGCCTGTCCCGACATCCATCTCAGCTATTAGAGGCTTCATAGATAGACAGTCAGTTAGTCATTTCTCTTTACTTTGTTATTGACTTATGTTCAGAGTTGAGTTGCCAAGCTATGTTAAATGTTTATTTTTAAAGCATTATGAGTTCAGTTGAGCAGTTCAGTTTATTCTTTTAAAGTACATTTATAGTGATTGGTCATTATAAATATGCATATAGTCTTCCACGGAGTTAAGTAAGCCAGGCTAAGGGTTCGCTTGTGGCCAGTAATGGTCTTCGATTGCCAGTCCCGCCTAGGGTTTAGGCTCGGGGCGTGA